CACAAGTATTCTGAGAGGGAACCCTCCACAGAGTCACCACAATCGTGACCAACCACCCCACCTCCGATAGGTCTATATATGAGGGGTCATACTACGTACTATATGTAACTATATTCTTAACATTATCCAGCTGTTGCAGAGTGGGCGCAATACCCAAACGATAGGCACCTGCAGCATAGGGACCAACACTACCGAGAACCTTAAACCCTAAACCCGCTGGTATGTAGGAATTAGCAGCACCCCCTTCCCCACTACGTGACTTTAAGAGGCGTTATATTTGGGGAGGAGTGTTGATGCTGATGGCTGCGTTTGCGTATACCCTAAACCCCAACTTTCAGTAGGGGAGGACATGAACTGAACATGATCCCTACATTATCCTGGACAGTCGTTTTGAGAATCACCTTAACTGGGGTTACTGCCTTGCTTCTAGGGGTTGTAAGTATACTTGCTTAGCCGCAGTCACCCTCTAAGTAGCCCTAAACCCTGAACCCTGAACTCTTAACCCTAAGGCCTAAACCCTGAACCCAGACTCTTAACCCGAAACCCTAAACCCTTGACCCTAAACCCTGCACCCAGTGGCTGATATCAACCATCAACCCTTGGAAGCCTGAAGCCCACCTGCATTTGGACATACTTCCCCGCTCTCTCAAAGCTTGATGTAGGTTAGGGTTTAGTGTACTTACTGTGGGGCCGAACAACTAGCAATATCATGTTGAGGTTAATTCGAGGTACCCTATACTACACCTTTCACAAGGAGTCTAGAAGGTAAATCCTGGTAATTATCCATGTAAGCACACTTTTTAATTCGAACTTCCATGTGAGTCTCAATATGCTTGTCCATGCAGTTCTCCCTTCTTTATCAAGCTCATTACTACAGTGGTTTCCATGCTCTTTTCCATTCCCTCATTATCTTATTGGTTCTTTAGTAGGGAAAAGGGACTGTAATCCCTCTTATCCCTAAACAATATGTTTCATTAGTCCCTCCTAAGCCCCAGTAAGTTATTTCAGCAGTTAACCGAGCTTTCATATAGGTGCATTTTCAGCGCGTTTGCCATCATTGGCCTGAGCCAGGACCATCGAAGAAGAAATTAGGGTTCGCTCTTACCTTAGGGGTCTGTATGCAATTACAATCACTCATTTTAATTTTAGGATTCTTATGCCCAAAATCGTTGTTTAGGTTCTGGAGGTTATAAGATAGTTCTACGCTTTGGACCCTTGGGGTCAGGTTCCAGTGCTCAAATAGGATGCGCTTCCTCCGCAATGTATCTATGATGTATGTGAGCTATAGTCTAAACTCCTTAAAGGATGTTATATAGGGGTTTATATAGGGGACTAGTATAGGGGTTATTAAAGGAGATACTTGGAGTTAAGAGGTTGTCAAGACTTTGGGAGACCCGGAAAATGACGTAGCCGTTTCATGTAGAGCCATTGCAGGATTCATGGGGGGGACCCCACTATAAACATTAAATATCACAGTCCTAGTTATAGGGACTGCCCAAAAGTATCGTGGAAAGCCCCTAAATCAGGAAGATGAGAAAGGGATACCCTAAACCCTAAACCTTGATACGCTAAATCTCGGAAGAGGGGTCGCCATCAATGCCGCTGGGTCTTATGAACGAGGAGGCTCAGGTTACAGAGCTTGACATTTCCTTCAGGTGATGTAGGAACCCTAAACCCTAAATCCTAACAGGAATACTGCCATTATGCACTAAACCGTGTGAGGCTGGCTCAGGGTTTAGCGTCTATAGCTTAGGCATTAGGATTGAGGAAATTAAGGAATGGATCTCTGTAGCCCGCTACAATCACCTGTACTACTCCTGCATACCGATTCACCCATTCCCTATTAGGGCCCCTACCCCCCCCCCCATTAACCTGATCCGCTAAGCCCCAAGTTGTAGCTCCTTTTGGGCAGTGGTAGGGTTTCATATAGGACTCATTTGCGTGTGGGATGTTGCCCTTGTGTCGTGTCCCTATTCAATCTAGTGTTATTCGGGCTTGAGGGCTCATGGTAATGGGATTCGTGTTCAGGGTTTAGGGACACCTGAACCCCAAAAGTATGTAGAATAATGGCCTTTTGGGCTATATTGAGGGGTTTGAGGCTGTCATGTTACCTACTTTTGGCTTTCAGGTAAATAGCATGTTTTTAACATTAGCGCTTTCACCCAGAAAGCAACTAACTAATCACCTAGGAACTTTCAAGTCGACCTTTTTCCATACGCAGCAAGCTCCGCATGCTTTGAGGTCTATAGCTTGGGTTGGCCCCCGCCCACTAATAGTCGTATACTAGGAGTATATAAGGACCCTAATATAATTACCATTACCTCTTGTGGTTACTATTAGTGGGTGGTGTCCCAACCTAAGCTATAGCACCTGTTACAGACACCACACTTGTTTGAAGAGCCTGCTTACAGAGATCCCATTCTCGTCACGTTATTTGTTTGAAACCCGGTTCTCGTAATGTTCCATGTGGCTATGCAATCTAGTATATACTCAGGGCCCACGGGTTTGCCATTTACCTACTTCACAGCCGGGTATATACTATATGGCCACATGGACCCTTTGCTTGGGTTTTGGGTGCACGAGCAACTCATCGCAGTCGTTCACATGGATATTCGCTGAAATCTTACCTGGTATCGGTCTGTTTTTCAAAAGTCAGGGTTCCCATTTTGCGTCCATAAGAAGGGACATGGCAGATTAGGTTCCCCAAAGTATGGCCCGTCAGGCTTGACGTCATGGGCCCCAAAGTCGTTTCTGCACCGTGGTATCCCCAGCCTTTTTTTTTATCAAGCGATGCATGTCATGTTGCCCTAAGGGCCCAGGTACCATATACTCCCCCAACACCTGTACTGCAATTCATGTTTCCCAAATCCCAAGTCATACAAGGAACATGGACCCTCGGGGTAAGTGTCGTACTGAACCATCCAGGACCGCCTCTACACCGTCCAGCATGCGATACGCGAGGCGAGATCTAGTGCGCTTCCCATGGTCCAAATTATTAACGGTCCAAGTACCTAATAATCATATACTTACCCAAAACCAATACTATAATTACCCAAAACTAGCTAATCATTGGGTACATGGACCCTAAACCCTAAACTCCTATAGACCCATGAATATCCCCTTTAAATGGGACCTAATTCTTGGGTTACATGGACCCTTTGGGAATGTGGGTGTGGGGTCACTGGATTGCAGTTTTTTATGTGGCGGACCCAAAGCCTTTGAGCGTGAAGGGAATTCCTGTCTTATATTGGGGTTATATGGGGAAAAAATTAGGATAATGGAAAATAAAATGGAAACTATTATAATGGATTATATATAGGGTTTGGGGTTTAGGGTTTGGGGTTTTATGGGGGGTAGTATTTGGATAATATTGGGATAATGGGCAAGAAAATGGAAACTACAGTTTAGGGGCTTAACCCTAAGCCCTAAACACTAGCCCCCTAAACCCTACGCTTTAAGGTGAAGGGTTGTAGGCTCAAGGCTTGGGTTCCTCAATGTAGGGCTGCAGGATTATGGGTTCGGGGCCCATGATATTTCGTGTTCGGGATCTAACCCTTAGGGTCCAAGGACCCAAGTAATAGGGCTTTAGTGCCCAAATACACTAATAGTATAGTAAAGGGACCTAATTATGGGGCCCCAGGGTAACAGTAACATAAGTCAGGAGGCCCCTCAGACAGGTAGACCCCCTCAGACACAGCCGTTCCAGGTGGACCTTGCCTTGGGTTTAGGGTTTAGGCCTTAGGGCTTAGGGCTTAGGGTTTAGGGTTTAGGGTTTAGGGCTTAGGGTTTAGGGTTTAGGATCGGTTCACAGCTCCAGAATACTGTATAGCCAACTAAAGGGCTCCCTGGTTCAGTTGAAGCAGGCAAGGTTTACATGTTTGTGTCGATTCCAAGAGTCATCTCTTCATCTAGTCATCAAAACAGGCATCCAAAACTTGCCCTAAGGATCCCAATAGCCCAATCAATGTAGGTAGTATTCATAGACTTTAGGGCCCAATGTAGGTATTATTTGTATTCTTGGATCCCCATATAAGCCCCAAAAAACCCCAGTAGCCATTTCATGTTCCATGTTCTTTTCCATTGGATTCTCCATTATTGTTATTATTTGTATACTTGGATCCCTACGATAATTAAGGGGACCCCAATATAGACCCCAATATACTATGGTCCTTATTATGGGGACGCCCAAAACCCTAAATCCTAAACCCTAAATCCTAAACCTTAAACCCCAATCCCTACATCCTAAATCCTAAACCCAAAACCCTAAAGGGACAAAATGGGACCACGGCCCTATTAAGGTTTAAATATATATAGGTAGAGAAGGTTTAGGGCTCATGAACCAGGACCCTCCTTGCACCTTGCACCCTTAAATAGGGGCAAATGGTCCCTAATTTGAAGGTATATAGAGGGTAGATGGAGGGTCCAGGAACAGAGGGCCCCAGTGATTATGCAGCACCATACTGACATCGAAGGACTCCCGAAGAATCACCCCCAAATTCGGAGACCCTGAACCCAGTAAATCCCTGTAGAGTCCTACATGAGCTGTATTCTAAGCTCCTTAAAAGCATAAATATTAGGGGATTATTTAGGGGAGTATTATAAGAGTTCTTAATGGGAATACTGGGAGTTTAGACTATAGCTCATATGCCTCTAGATCATCCCTACAAGCTCCTTTAAAGCGGCCCCTCGGCTTTGGAAACTCCAAAGCAACTACCAAGAAGTGACACGCGGTTTAGGTTTTAGGTTTTAGGGTTTAGGGTTTAGGGTTTAGGGGGAACCACCACATACTCTAAAACCACCACATACCCTAAACTCTAATCCCTATACACGCTAAGCCCTAAAGGACTCCAAAAAAGGGAGCCTGAACCTTCAGGAAACCACCATGCACCCTAAACCCTATACCCCATAAACCCTAAACGACCCCTGAAAGGGGAACCTCGACTTTCGGAAATCCCCCATATCAGTTTGGCAAATCCAGAATGGACCGCTAGGCAAGCAGCTCAGCGAAGCTTGGTGGGTACCATCCTTGCTCAGGACCTCGGTTAGGTTTAGGCTTTAGGGTTTAGGGTTTAGGGTTTAGGGTTTAGGGTTCAGAGTTCAAGGATTGCTTTCCAAGGCAAGCGGAATATAATTGCCCTGTCCCCAAAATGAAGACACTATTGCCGTCATATGATAGTGGTTGGTCCTTATTGTAGGGGTTGGGTAACTGAAATGCTTGAACAAATGATACCAGAGCCTTTATAGACGCACATCATAACACGTGCACACACCCTGTTCTGTTTAGGCCTCTTAAGTAGTGGTACCGCCCTCAACCCTAAAAATCTAAACCCAAAACCTAAAACAACCCTAAACACCTCAACCCCGTAAAACCCTAAACCCTAAAACCCTCAACCCTAAACACCTAAACCCTAACCAAGAAGCCACGGTCTGCGGAACCCGGTCCGCGCTTGACGACCTTTCCAAAATCCCAGCCTCGTAATGGGCGTTCATTTGCCCGGGTTTAAGGCTTTGGTTTGGGGTTAGGGTGTTAGGGTTGTTGGTAACCATCTTGTGAAGAACCTAATGGAACTTCATGGAGGGAAATTTTCAACGCACCCCTATAGGCTGCAATCTCCTCCCCCTAATCCGAGAACCACCCCCAAATCAGCAAGACTCCACCCACTGTATGGGGAGTGTCTCAACGACTCCGCCCTAAACTTTTTGATCCATGCCCTATGAAACATTGCCCTGCTCCATAACCTATGGGTCGCGGTATGTCGCTGTTTAAGTAGTTATGCAATGAGGGGGTATGCAATGAGAAAACGTTCGATGATCCATACCCGATAGATCGGGGAGTTCTCGTTTGGGGAGAAGCTGTTGAGTCATGTCCCAACACCCTAAACCTAATCCGAAGACACCAGACATGATAAGAGGATTTTGGTAACTCTAACCAACCCCGAGACAGGCCCGTATTATGGCTCGATGATGGGAATTGGAAATAGGGTCCTATTTGAAAAGGCTGGGGTTCCAGAAATTTTGCGTGCCCCATGTATCTCCTATATACACCTACATAAACACAGTTTCCATGTCCTTCCGCAGTTGATGGTTCAGTCTTATCAGAGCTTACCGAAATCCACGTATCCCAAAGCCTATATAGATCCCTAGTCTTCCCTGTACAACCCCCATTTTGTAATCATTAATCCTCTTCTAAACCCTAAATCCTATAAACCCTATAAACCCTAAACCCTAAACCCTAAGGTCCAGAAATCTCAGCCTTCGCCATCCTCCACCTCAAATCTCAACAGCATATCGCCTTTCCTGGGTGTCTTCTTGTCTCTTTACGGTTGCGTGCGACTTCAAGGCGGGTATGCCTGTTTCTGGGCTTTGGGAGTATTGGGAATTGGGGGGAGGGTGTGCAATATGAGCTATAGTCTAAACTCCTAGTATCCCCCTTAATAACCCTTATAGTAGTCCCCTATATCATCCCCTATATAACCCCCCTTTCAGGAGTTTAGACCATAACTCATATGGGTCTGTGATGTTATGAAGCCCAGGACCTTAACCCTACACGTGCACATGAGCTCGTCGGAAGGCCTGCAGGCGGAGCAACTACAGGGCCATATTGGGGTATTTATTGGGGTTTTATTGGGATAATGGAAAAGAAAATGGAAACTACTGTAGTATAGAGGACTGCGTGGGGAAAAAGGGTTTAGTGCTCAACTGGCGTTTTTGGGCTTGCATTTCTTCACATTCATGTGGGCTTGATCAAAGTAGCTGTTAAATTATCAGGCCGCTTTGATTTCCATGAAGCCCGAAAAAGGAGGCCCTCACAGTGCTTACTTTGGGCACAGCAACTCAGGAAAACTCCAAAATGCGCAAGTGGAGGTTTATATAGCCTTCCCGGATATAAAGGAGCTCCAACAGCTACCTGCGACTTGCACGTATTTCTACATCTCAACGGTAATTAGGTGCGTGAATGTGTGTGTGCGTGTGTCTGTATGTATAAACATGTACGTATATTCGTGTATAGAGGTTGTCAAAAGTATGGTCCTCTTCACACCCCAAACAAAGGACTACCTCCCTAAATCCTAAACCAAAACTACCGTAGATGTATCATGTGTCTTAGGTGGACCCCCATCCAGTAATACTGACTATAAGGGAGAATAGTGATTATATCAGGATCTTGCTATATTTCTAGAAATTCCAGGCCTGAACATCCCCGCTGCGTTTTGCACTATTTCCAATATGCACGTGTTTCAATATGTGCCATATACAGTAGCCACCTTCCGACTATACCACCATTACAGGGCAGGGGGTCCACCAAAGATGTGGCATACTTCCATCATCCTGACCAGGTGTCTTGAAGACCAAATACTCGGAGCCATGGACGGTTCCATCAAAGTCCTCAGGGCTACTGGAAATTGGGGTGACCTAGAGAAGCAGGCTGCATTTTTTACCATCTTTTGCATCATAACCCCAATTAGATGGTAGTTTCCACAAACGGGGGGACCCCAAAAGTAACCCCCAAAACATTAAATCACTATTATAAGGTACCCCTCGTTTTGGCAAGCCCTCAACCCTATAAATCCCGATACAACCCTTATATAACCCATTTACAGGGACCCATCATTTTTCTGTGATGCCTGAGTGAGTATACTTATCACAGGCAGGCTGACGGTCCCCGACCACTCGGTACACCGGCTGCTGCGAGGCCGATGCAGGCTCCGACTCGCCGAAGGGCAGTGGAGGGACATACCTGCGCAAGGCTTTCTTAGTGATTCTTAGGTGGATTGGGGAAAGGATTATACGGGGTTGATATAGGGTTATAGTCTCCTAGTCCCTACTATGAAACCTTCAGTTTTTCTTGATGGTGGTTTGGGGCTTAAGTAGGGTAATCAGAAAAAGAATATGGGTAATAATGACCATGCCAAGGGATCACATGATCTCCCTACTCACCACCAGTAAATTCTTGCTGCGAAGCTAGGCAAGCTAACCCCCCCCCCCCGTTCCCCGCAACTCCCAGCTGCGAAGCTCAGCAAGCTAAACCCCCCCCAACTCCCATAGCATCTCCCTGCCGTCCCTAAGCTACTCCGATTTTGACAAACCCCAGATAGCAGCGTCACCCTCAACGCCCTACACCCTACTAATTATCTCAAGCCCTAATATCTGCCCTCTAACCCTCCCAAAACTAATACTAACTATTTATTGGGCTTATGCTAGGCAGCCATCAACACTTCTTTTCGGGACAACCCTAGACCACGAGTGCATTCAATTTTCCGTTTGCTTCTCCGTTTTATTCTTCATGATTTGGGGGATGCTATACCTTAAGCCCTATATAAATCTAGATAACCCCTTGATATCCCTATATAACCCAATGTAGCCCGTATGCATCCCCCCCAACCTCTAAACCCTAAACCTCGCTGTCCATTTTCTTTCCATTATCCCCATGTAACCCCAATATTACCCCTATATAAACCCAAGAAAGAGCCCTATAAAGCCCTAAACCCTAAACCCTAAACCCTAAAGCCCTAAACCCTAAAGCCCTAAACCCTAAAGCCCTAAACCCTAAAGCCACCCTTATTTCTACAAAGATCTGCCCAGGGGCCAACCCACGTCTGGTCGTGGCTTGATCTGCCGTGGGTCCGCCTTGGGCCACCGTGGGCCACACGCGTAAGGGCTTAGGGTCTAGCGTGTAGGCCGGTTCTGGGAAGATTGAGGACGTTTTAGTTCCTCAAAGCAATCAACAATGGTGCTTTGTACTCCTGGATACGGATGTAGGCCTAGCGTAGGGTTTGTTAACCATGGGTCCCCCTACTACAACCCCTCTATACAAACCTACCCCCATTTTACAGGTACTCAAGGCATTTTGATGTCCCTATGAGTTTGCCAAGATGTGGTTTCAGACCTGGAATTGAAGTTTAAAGCCCCCCACATAGCTGACCTGGAACTACAAATGGACCGAGTAGGCTTCTTATGTGCGATTCATGTGGTGGCTCATGAAATGGAATAGGATTGCAGGATTCAGTGTCGTCTGCGCCTGCGCGGTCGAGGGAGATCAAGGCTTAGGAAGGAGGGCCCCTGCACCTTTGACCCCTTTTTTTCAAAGAGTGGGAAATCAAATAGGATATCACATGGACACTTAGGTTTAAATTATGTAAGGGGTCCTAGGGGGTGTACGTAGAACAGGAGGGCTTTGGTAAGCCCACCCATTCCCCCCCCACCGACACAAAAACGCAATATCTAGCATTTCCATAGAACTGGGTCCTGATTCGGAGGGCTGGGGTTACCAAGCAACTTGTTTCAGACAACCCTCATTCCTAAACCCTATACAAGTGTCCATCCCATGTTCCAAGTGATCTCCCGGAACTATAGTCTAAGCTCCTAGTATCCCCCTTAATGACCCCCATAGCAGTCACCCTATATAATCCCTTATATACACCCCCTTCAGGGAGTTTAGATTACGCCACGTAACCACTTCAAGCAGACCACTATCCCTAAATCTGGCAATTACTTGTCGTCTGTTATCTAGCCTTCTACATTCGAATGTTGCCTAGCTTGCACCTAAAGAACAGGAGCCTTTTTTTTGGTAGAATAGCGTAAACCCTGAACCCTAAACGCCAAATAGTAGTTTCCATTTTCTGTTCCATTCTCCCTATATAACCCCCTACTATATAATCCCTACATAACCCTATATATTCTCTATATATATTCCCTATATTAACCTATATGATCCCTTTATAACCCTACGTATATAATCCCCCCAGAAACCCTAAACCCTATAAACCCTAAACCCTAAACCCTATAGCCCCCATTGGAGTACGTTGTGGTCTAGGCCAGGCAAGAGTTGTGGCAAGGTTTTCGCTTTGGTCACGGAA